GAGCCGGTTTGTCTGGTTGCGCTGATGTCTCTCCTTGCAGGAAGAACGGACGGTGAGAGACCGGAACCTCCTCCAGGTGCAGGAGCACGAGCAGCCCATCCTATGGAAGGAGCAGTTCAGCTCGGGGAACGGCAGCCACCTGAGCAACCAGTGCCGGAATTCCGTGCAGGGGAAGCTGCTCATCACGGACGAGCTGGGTACGCTCGGTGCTGAACGCTTTGCTGCGCTGATGGGAGCGCCTGCTAACACGGGCACCTTACGGCTGAGCCTCGCCTGTTGACGTTTCCGTGGTTATAGTAATATCATGGGCCTGTGGTTATATTGATATTATGGACCTGCGTGCCGTTTGCAGGGCTGCCGTGCATCCAACAAACGCCGGCTGCCCTCACGCAGCGCCTAAACGTGCGGTGCTGAACGCGGGCCGGGTGCTCGCAGGGCTATTTGCATCCCCTGCAGTGCGTTCCTGCGGCCAGCCGTGTTAGCGAGAGTAATCGAGGAAACCCGATTGGCACAATTAGTGCTCAGCCGCAGCTAACGAGCTCGTCTAAGTCTTGTAAACCCTGGGATGTTTCTGTTGCAGGTTCCCAAATGAACTCCAGGTGGTGGGTGAAGCCTTTCCTGCCATGGCACGTGCCTCGCGTTGCTCCAGTGCTGGGCTGTTCTTGGCCATCAATGAAAAGCTGTATAAAAATAATGCTAACAAAAAACAGCACATCTTTTGTGCACTGATATTAAATGTGGCACTGCTGAGTTAATGCTCTCTGCTGATTCACCAAGCTCTCTAGAATCGGTGGTGCCTTTCACAGTCTAGTAGGGCTGGTACAGCTTCCATAAGGATGCATGCTGTGGTTATAGGCTGTTGAGGGCTCCTATAAGCAGTGAACATCACAGCTGCTTTGTTTGCATGAATCTAAGTCCCTTCTTCCTGATGAACTGCAAAGAGAGTTACCCAGATTCAGACCAGGTAAAGGAACATCTGTCAGTTTTGTTCCAGTATGATCACCATGGTTACCCTTTCCAGTGACAACCATAAACTGCCAATAAGACATAACTTAAATATTATGCAATAAGACATAAATATTATACATGTAAAGAATGGTGCTCTGTATACTGTGTTAATGAGGTACATCATAGCTGTGCAGACAGCACCAAGCTGTTGTACAGCTCAGCTCTATGCCCAAGTCCCATTTCAAGTAATTGCTATGTAGGACTTCAGTCAAATTGAGGAGGGTCACAATAAAACAAATCTGTCAAGCAATGCATTTCTTCCTATAGCATTCCTATGGAACGTACATGGAATAAGTCTTCTCATTTCTTTCTATTTCTGTTTGTTTTTTTTTTTTCCAGGCTACATCTGTGAGAGGAAGGACTTGCTGGTCAATGGCTGTTGCAATGTCAACGTGCCCAGTACCAAGCTGTACAGCTGTGACAGCTGCCTTCCCAATGGCTGCTGCAGTGTGTATGAGTACTGCGTGTCCTGCTGCCTGCAGCCCAACAAGGTGCACAGACTTTCTTTTGCTTTTCAGCTGTGGCTAGAAGCTCTTGCTTGTCAGGAGCCTTTTCCTTACAGGGGACGGTTCCTGCTCCTTGAAGGATGAGAGAAGCCTGTGGCAAGCTATTAATAAAAGCTTAACAAAAATAAAAGCTTAACAAAAATAAACCAAAAAAATCCATCCTTTCCACCTTGGAGAGAAAGTAGTGGGAACGCTGCAGCAGATCAGCTGTAGTGGCATTTCTGTGTTTGCTGAAGGGAGGTGACTGTAGAAAAGCCAGTCAGTACAAGAACTCCCCTGTATTCTGCTGGCCGAGCAGAGAAAAGAGCTCCACTCAATTCCCTCTGTCCTGCTGGGCTGTCATGGCATTCACCTTGAGGTGCTTGCTAGTAAACAGCCCTGCTTGGAAGCTGTATTCCTCTGAGGTCTGAACTGCGTAGGTTATGGTGGGTTTTGACTGCTTTATTGAAATAAGGTCTTTTTTTGACTGCCACTATTATTTTCTTGCTGACCATTGTAGCAACATCTTCTGGAACGTTTCTTGAACCGGGCAGCTATGGCTTTCCAAAACCTCTTCATGGCAGTGGAAGATCGTTTTGAGCTGTGTCTGGCAAAATGTAGGACTTCATCACAGGTAAGGCACCAGGATGTGTAATATCTGAAAAGTACCCGTGGCCCTACAGTTCGTTGGTGTGTTGTGCTACAGAATGCAGTTGGAGGTGTCGTGCAACTGGAATTCTTAATAGAGCCATAGGGATGAACTGTTACTGTCTAGTTACGATTCACTGCAAAAATGCTGTAACAACTGTATTTATATACATGCTGGAAGCAGTGATATTTGACTACAGAAGGTACTGTACTCTGTGGAAGAGTTTGGGAAGTTTTTGCATGCTTGTACTCTGGGTTTTAACCCTCAGTGAAGGGGTTTGTTGTTACAGTATGTGTGAACTGTTTAAGTCTCTCCTTCTGTTCCCAACAGAGTGTGCAGCATGAGAACACCTACAGAGATCCAATTGCAAAGTACTGCTATGGAGAATATCCCCCCGAGCTGCTGCCTGTGTGAAAGCTGCATGGTTTGAGCAGCAAGGTGAAGGAACTGGAGACTAGAATCCAAAAGAGCAGGACAACAGCTGCTGCGTTACAAGAGCCTCAGTGTAAATGGTTTATGGTATTTTCAGTGGCCAACCCAGAGGTGTACAGAGCAAGCAAGAGACTTAAGTTCTGTGGAATTGGATCTTGCTTTCTTCAGCTGATATTGTGCACCTGCTTTGGGGCACCAGGAGGGGCATTCTTTGAATCGTTCTTCTGCAATAGCTTGTGTTTTAGGATGCATGGAGTGGATCTAGCCTATAAAATATCATAGAAAAAGAGTCTAATGTAGCTTTGCAGCTGTACCTGTAGGCTCAGTGTCTCTGCAGTCCAGAGGCTTCCCAGAATGGCAGTAATAATGACAGAACCTTTGCTTGCAGGGAGTAAAGCGTGCCTGTTGTTTCTCTGGAGTGCTATCCGATGTGCATGGTGTACACTACATCTGTAATTATGAATTATTTATTCAGTTTATATGGATTTGCAGCTGGAAGTATTGATGCTTTGCATAACTAGTTGTTGATGCCTTTCAGCCCCCGTTTCTTTGTATCATGTAAAAAGGATATTTTACATCCTGGCTAAAATTGGTTGGTGTTTTTCCCTCCTTAGTCTAAGGGATTTGTATTGGCTTTCACGGCTATAGTGCTTACGTTCCTCTTGGTGAGTTTAAAGCATTTGAAACTCCAATGGAGTTGTTATCTGTCAGAGTCCCCTAGCACGAGAGAAGAGCAGAGATCTCCCTGTGATGGGACCTTTACTGTCTGTAAGTGCTTTCCTTAGTTCTCTGCAGCAGTTTGCTGGAGGAGCAGCATAAGCCTTGCAAACAGCTCTGTGCCTGTCCGCTTGCTGATAGGAAACAAAGAAGATTTATTTGCTTGAATTTATTCAGGAGTCAGTAATTCAATTGTGCTTCACTTCTGGTTGTGCAGGAGGGTGGAGTTCTTCCAGGATCCTTGCCTAATGACGTTCATGTTCAAGAAGTAAATATGCTAGAATGTTAGAATATGGCACGAGCCCTTCTCTGAGGTGAGCTTGGTTAAACCATCAGGGTGTTTTACTTTGCTGTTTGACATGCTGCTCCAAAGTCTCAGCCCGATCAGAACGGCAGTAGAACAGAGTTGGTTCTCCCAGTTTTCTACAGTTGGCTCCTTAAGTAAGGCTGCTCAACACAGAGGAGACGGGTAGAGAACATGTAAGATATTGACCAAATCTGTGCTTTCCCTACATGTCACTGTGTGAAGGCCAAGCACCAGACAAAACTGGGCTGTTTTTTGCTATGCAAAGCCTCATTTCCCCTGTTTTCACCCCAGCCATCTCTGTGCAGCAAGGCCACCTCAGTGATTCTGACTTTGCATATGCATGTTTAAACTGTTGCTTCCTATTCCCAGTCTGAAAGAAAAGCAATCTACAGAGGCATTATTAAAAAACAAGCACAGTGGAGAGTCCTTGCACAAAAGATATCTGTACAGTGCTGAGCAAGATATCCTATGTTTCCAATTAAAATTCTTTGTGATATAAACAAGTGCTGTTACCAACCACCTGATCAAATCCACTTGCATTGTTTTCATTGTTCTTTCCCAGAAACTCATCAACTGAGACATTGATTCTGTCAGCAGATTTTCTTGAAAGTCTTGTTTCCATCCGGATAAACTGCTCACACTGCAGCCTTGGGAGAAACATCTCCCCTTTGCTGCCATCCCATGGCAGGTCGCTGCAGCAAGCGTGATGCAGGGTGAAGGTGCAATATGAAATGCTGTCTTAAGAGGGTAGCAGAGGTTACTCGCTTCTCTTTTCAGCGTTAAACAGATTCCTCACCTCCCTTCCACACTTCATAAGGGAAGGCCGTGGGGTTGGTCGTGTTATATCATTCCTACTGGGATGTATTCCCACGTGTCACATTGCTGCACAAAGATCAAGGTACTGATGGCTTACCCTGGATTTCTTTTCCAGCTTGGTATTTATTCTTCTGCTGGTGATGTCTCTGCCTTGAAGCAGTAACTGTGAGAAATCATCAGAACCAACTTAATGTGGATGGCTTTAGTGGGAACTCCTGCTCCCTCTCAGGGATGTTCAGCAGTGTGTTGTAACCACTGCCGTTCACTGTGGCAGAGAGTGCATCTTCCTTCCCTGGTTGTTAGGCTGTTGAAATTGTCTGTGCTGTGTGTTAAACCATTAAAAATGTATCTGTGTTCCAAAATACTGCTGCTTCTCGTGTCTTCCCGTGATCTACAACAGAACTTCTGTCATTTATAATAATATTAACACCAGTGAGAAACGGCAGCAGCTCGCATCTGATGAGGAACAGGTATGATATTTGGCTATCCCCGTTTGGAAAGAGAAACCTATGGCACGAGGGTGAAGTAGTGATCACTACAGCTGCTTTAGCTGAACTTGAGTCTTTGGCCTTGAAGCCACATGCTGTGCTGCTCTGTGGGGTGGTGGTAGGAGAACTGGGTGAAGAATTCTTAACGTGGTGGACTGGAGTTCTGGTTGGAGGCCTGTACAAAACTTCTGATGAGCTGGGGGTCATGGTTTCTACATTTGCAATCTCACTCCCAGTTGCAGTTTGTCACTTGAGCTCCTTTCAGTGCTGGGCTCCAATCACTCAGAGGAACTTCAGGCAAACTAAGCGAGGATTAGTGGATTGTCAGCTCTGAATACAAAGCAAATCCTCAATGCCAGTCTTACTTCTGACCTGCTTTCAAAAAGCAAATGCTTTTCTGACTGTCCTCGTCATTTTGCTGGACAAGCTTGAGCTTTAGGAGTTGTTCTGTCTTGTGCTAGTCACTTAAACTGCAAGCAGACTGCTTCCTTTAGCTTAGCTCCATGATGTGGTATTTGTTCTTCGGTCATTATAGTCTAGAAGAGGTGGGGGAGGAAACAAAAAGAATTCTCTAACTCAGCAAGTTCAACAAAAATGGAGTATAGCAAATTATTGGTGCTTTAATTAGAGTCCTCTACCTTGTTTTACAGCCTGGGGCAAACAACTACATGCAGAATAGGGAAAAATGCCAACTTCAGAACCTGTGGGGAGTAACGTGAGAGTACACAGTTGTTCATTTTTTGATCAATATCTAATTAAAAAGACAGTTCTAACGAATATTTCAAAGAAATCTGACTTGTGACAACATGTGTGTTATCTACACAATGATTTCTGTTTCTGAGGCAATCAGGTTACAAGAGATTTTCCTTAATTAATCATTGTTCTTAGTAGTTTAGAAGTATGGGTCCTAGCCCAGAATTCTCAGAATGCCTTCAGATCGAAGTATGTTTGTTGCTGCGACCTCTGCTCCACCTTGCAGCAATTGGACAGATCAATATGATGGGAAAAGGCGTTTCTGTAATGACAAAAGGATTGGCACGATAGAAAGGTGCTATAAAAGAAGGGAGGAAGATTGCTCACCTGTATCAGAAGAGTCCAGGTTCACAGAGAAGAGCTTCACTATGGAGGAGCCTTCAGAAAGAGATGCTTCCCCAGTGGCAGCCAGCCCTCAAATGAGGTCTAAGAGAGGTGCAGCCAGGCTCCATCCCTTCCCATCACACAGCTGAATTGCCTTCACCTGTGCTCCCAGGGCTCCTTTCCCCAGGTGCTCCATCAGTGGTTGTTGAATGGCTCCAGGCCATTCAACAGTTCCCACACACACCTACAGTGCAACACAAAGTCACAGAACAGAGAAAACTAAAAAATTATTCCAGCTGAGAAGCTTGTCTTGTAGAAACCCTTCTAGTATGTATTTCAGGCAGGTGTTGGTTCACCTGTAGTTTTCCATGGGCGAGATTACAGTTAATCTGTTTCTGTTATTAATGAGTGAACTCAGAGATGGCAAATGATTTCTTGTCAGTTTAACAAAGCTTCCAATAAAATGCAGCTCACATTTATCCAGTATGTTCTCTCTCTCTCTCTGGATGCACCTACAGAGTGGGAATCAAGGTGAATGCAGATCAGATGCCAGCTATTTATGTTCTGTTCCTGCCATGCACAGAATCTGTTTAAGTTCCTTGGAGACAGAAAATAACTCCACCCAGGTAGTTTGGATTGCTTCTAATCATGGCTTCACATGCAGCCTCTCTATGTGTCTTTTGGTGTGAGTAGAATGGTTTGAGTTGGAAGGAACTTCAACTATCACCTATTTCCAGCTGCTGCCAGGGCAGGGCTGCCTAACACTACACCAGGCACCATCTCAGGCTGCCCAGGGCCCATCCATGGCCTTGGGCACCTCCAGGATGGGGCACCCACAGCTCTGTGGGCAGCCTGGGCCAGTGCCTCACTGCCCTCTCAATGGAACATTTCCCTGACATCTAATCTACATCTCCCCTCTTTAAGTTTTAAACCATTCTCCCTTGTCCTATCACTACCTGCCTGTGTAAAAAGTTGATTTCCCTCCTGCTTTAAGCTCCCTTTAAGGACTGGAAAGAGTAATGCTGTGTTCCGTGTGTGTAGGAAGTGACAGTGTTGGGAGCAGTGGATGCAGATAGGCTGAGCACCTGACTTAGAGCCAGTGTGACATCCGAGGCTGTAGGCACGTGCATCCATTAGCTCTGTGATGCTGGTGGGGCAGCGTGCCCATCAGTCCCAGCTGCTGGAGGTCTCATGGAGATGAGAATCAACAGCGCTCTGACTGACATCAACACCGACGTGCTGCTTTATCTCAGCATAAGATTTGCTGATTTGGAGGCTTCCTTGGTCTGACTGCCTGCTGTGGTGTTTTGGGTGAAACAAGCCTCTCATATTCTAAGATGTAAGGAACAGGAACATCAAACTGTCCCCTCACACACCTGCTTTCCTCCTCCCTTTCCCACCTGCTCCACCAAGAGCTCTCTTTCTGCTCTTTGTCCCACTGTCACTCTAAACTCACTTTCATTTTCCTGCTCTGGTTCCTCTTGATTTTTTTTCCCTCAGGCCCTTACATCTTCTTTCCCTCCCCCTGCTTTGCTTTGGGTCCATCTCACTGAAGGCTGAAACAGAACAGCAGAAATCTTCACTCCCAGAGGAAATGTTCCTTTTCCCAGTAAGCAAAGGTACTGCAATACTATCCCTGCTTTTGAGGCCGCAGAGTATCTCTATTTTGATCCCTCCTTTTCAATTCCTCTTCACCCCACTTTGATCAGGCGCTAGCTGTTGCTCCCAGTTTTCTCAGCCTGCCTTTGCTTTGAGTATTCATGCAAAATTCCGTGCCATCATGGTTGCAGTGTGTGTTAAAGGGCACCTCGACACCTAACCAGAGTTCTGGGAGAGAAAAGTGGGGCTCTCCCATGCTGTCATGTGGGGTGGGAAGCAGAGCAGGAGCATTGCTGCCTCTCCCACGCTTCCCCAAGGAACTCAAATCTGGGTCCCATTGTGCAAATAGGTCTCTGATGTGTGGGTGTGTGTGATTTAATGGGCCAAAAATGGCAGCAGCATCAGTTGTGTCAGAATGAACCCAGATGAGCCGCACTCGTGGACCTCCTTCCTGCTGTATGGAAGCCCAGCCCTATGCTGAAGAGTAATGCCACAGAAATAAATACACACCTGGCACTTGGGACAACTTTTTTCCTGTCCTGATTGTAAGTTGAAGCTGGGCTCTATCTGCATCACGTGTATTCCTGTTGGTGAGAGATTTGCAGTTGGAAGTGAGATGAATCAGGGATGCCCCATCCCTGCAGGCATTCAAGGCCAGGCTGGATGTGGCTCTGAGCAGCCTGGGCTGCTGGTTGGTGACCTGCACACAGCAGGGGGTTGGGACTGGATGAGCACTGTGGTCCTTTTCAACCCAGGCCATGCTATCATTCTGTGATGTGATTCTATGATGCACAAAGACAAGCACAGTGTTAAACCTGAATGTTCAATGGTTGCAAGAGAGGTGCACTTCTCACACGATGATGAGCTTAGAAATAAGTGAGAGGCCGTGCTTGTTTATTGTCCGGAGGTGAGACCTGAAGCCCCGGTGCTTTCAGTTCCTCTTTACAACTGTAGAGGGCTCATTTTTCCTTTCCTGTGTGAGAGCTGAGGTTTCTGCGTGTCTGCCTTACTGCAACAAATGAGACTCGTGAGTTGGCAACAAGGAAAGCCCTGTTACCTGCAGTGTGAATACAATAAAAGTCCAACTGCGCCCTGTAGGAGCACGGTTTTTTTTCTGCGCAGCAAATAGAAAGTCCTTTGTGGTTTTGGGATTGGCTTTTTTAGGGGGAGGCAGCAATACAAGTAATAGCTATGGGGGATCTATTAAGGAACTGTAATTGTTAGGAAATCCTGAGTCCTACAACACATAGTGGGAGCTGGTGGAATTGTTTGGAATGCCACAAGTGCTGTAAGCTGGGTACAGATGGAGAGCTTTGGACCACCTTGGGCTTCTCTTGGGTAGTTTCCATAGGAAAGCTGATATATTTTGTCCTTAAACCAGGATTTGCAGTGGACACACTGCCATAAAACTTGCCATGAAAACAAATCAAGGCATCTATTGTGAGGCTCAGTGAAACACTGTGTGTTGTGACACTGTATGCATTGTCATGGCCCTGCCACGTCAAGGTTAGAGTGGGAAGGCGAGTGGCTGGCACTCGCTCCATCAGGCAGAGATGCTGGCTTTGCAGGTAGCCCAGGCAGGGTGAGGCCTGCACACTCTGTTGCTTCTAACAACCAGGTAATGAATATGCTTCCAGAATTTGTGTTTCTCCTGCTGGAAGCTGCAGCTGCCTGTGATCTGTGTCTCTGTCAAGGGAAAGTGAGGTGTAGTTAATTCAGGTCTGCACAACAGAGACGTATCGATCAGGGCTCTCCTTGCTGTGGCTGGATGTCTGCCATCGCAGTGCTGGGGCGATGCATCAAACCGGGATGGCAAAAACAAGGATGTGTTGCCTCAGTGATGAGGCTGTACTGAGCAGCTTCAGTGCCGAGCTTCGGCAGCTCCAGAGCAATTCTGCTCCAGCCTTCAGAGGGTCAGGAAGACACTGAAGTCAAGTGAAAAGGGCGCATCTTGTGCATGGCACTGCAAATACACTGTGAGTAGCTGTCAGGTTAAAAGCATGGATTCCATGTGAGCAGCTCGAGCTGGATCACAGGATTTCAGGCAAAAGTGGGCAAAACAAGACCTGTTCATGGCAAGTGGGAGAAGTTACACAGAGCTGCTTGCAGAGGTACTGAATTGTAAGAATTAGATGGAGCAGATGATTCCTCCTTCTCTACTAGCAGTACTTGGATGTGGGTGATTGACACACTTTATAGCTACTAGTTTTCATATTGCAGTGTGTTATTTCACACAAAACTAGAAATCCTTGTATTCTGGTTTTCTAGTATACAGAGTAATGACATTTTATTTCTGCAGAGGTGCCCCACTTATCCTCCTTCTCCCACTTTTCCCTCCTGCCAGTTTCCCCGAATAGCTGCGCCTGTTTTGTTCATGTGTTGCACAGGGAAAGATGGACACCAACAGGTTTGCTGATTACTAAAAGTTTCTATCCAGCCTCGTGCTATTAGCTGAAGTAACAGAGCAGTATGGCACGACGGCTCTCACACTTCTCATTGTGCAGGGACTTTTGGTGCAATAGGACTGTCTTCTGGGGCTGTCACCAGTAGCTTTTGCTTTTCCACACCTGCTGTTTTATCTCAACGTGCAATGCTGCAATCGTCCTCATCTTTCCAGAAGGGCTGTTAAGGGTGCAATGCTGTCAGCCCCTCTCATCCCCAGTTTGTGCTAAGAGCTGGCAGAGCTGAGTGCTGGCATGCTGAGCACCACGAAGGACCATCCTTTGACCAGTGGCAGTCCTCGTTCCCACCGCTGGCATCGCTCCTGTCAGCTGTCAGCTTTTACTCCCGTACCCAAAGGGAAGGTCTTTATCCTGGCTGCATTTTTTGCTGCTGTTGCCTGAGCTTCCATCCTCGGTGCAACCCATCGCTCTTGTCACTGTCATCTCCTTCAGCCCTGTTTGCTGCAGCACACTTTTTGTCTCATCGCCGTGATTATATCAGCTCCCGTGGTTCTACGTTCACCTCATTACTGAAATAAAGTTAACATTAATGAGAGTCATGCAGCTAAACCTTTGCTCACCTCACTGGAAATTTATTCTAATGATGAAAAGGAGATGCGTGTGGATCTGTGTAAAGCCAGCTTTTTTCTCACCCCCACCTCACTACCTACCATGTTTAAGTAAAGTATTTTGTTACTAAGTGCAGACGACGCAAAAGAATCCAAATACATTATCCAGCATTAGAGAGGACAAACGATATTGGTTAAACACTGGTCTGCTACACAGTTCCTTTATGACTGAAGGTTCAGTGTCAGTGCTGTGCCTGGGAAAGGTTTCTTCTCTCTGTCTCCCACAGCAAATCAGCTCTAAGCTTTTGGGGATGCTACGGGGCTGAAGTTATTACCACGTGTTTACAGGACTTGCACCTATAAATGAATGAGGTGTAGCATTGAGGGAGAGGTGGGAATTGCTTACAAAAAACACAGCGAGGCTTCAAGCTGGAAGGAGAAATGTATCTACATAAGCAAAAGTTAATGAGATGTGACAAACTGCATGGTGCTTGCGCTGAGTGAAGAGGTTCATGAGATCAGAACTTAGATTGACCATAAGAGCAGCCAT